TCCACTTAAAGAGACTGAAGAACTGGTCCCACTCTCATGGTTAGGACCAGAAATCCACCCCCTGCTCTTTCTGTGGAGTCTGATTCCTGGACAGTCCCATGATCCATCTCCAATGGATCTTCCACACTTTCCAGGGTGGTGGCCATCGGCAGCTCTTCTTTGATTAAGACTGCTGGGTGGATCAGAACGTCAGCCAAAGTGTAAATAAAGTCTAATCACACGCAGCCTTTGCACACGTATTTTAACAGCCCCCCACCCCGCCCTCTGATAGGTTGTATTTCATTGACTTGGAAGAAACACTGCATTATCTGGGGAAACAGCACAGATGTTGCCTAATGAACATTTCTGTTTATGCTTTGTATTAAGCTCTCATGAAACATTTATGCAAATCTCACATTCACGCAAGGTGAAAGAACCCATGGTGTTATGGAGCCTACAGCAGGGAGACTTTTGTCTTGTTACTTTGGTACTGCCTTTTTTCCACTCCAGTGTTTTATGGGTGCTTGTGTAGCTCCAGGGAGGGGGAGCAGTTTGGAAGGACACAAGGGCCCTACAGATTTCCGTCTCCTCTGCTTTTGGTTCTGTTATCATCCCTTCCAGCTGACTTCACATTTTATGATGCTAATGGCGGGTGTATGGTTTTGAGTTTCTCTGCTGTCAGCTGGTCAGTGGGTCTGAGGGATATATTTAATAGAATCTGACAGCTGATGGAACTGGCTGCATTGAAAGCAGATTTGATATGTGGAGTGAATATGGAGACCCTGGGACCACCATAATAATGGCCCTTCTCATCCGGCTCACGAAGCCAATATAACTCTTTCTCTGTACATACCATGTGCATAAAGGACATGACTTATGGATGGCTTCTTCTGTATGCTGATTTGAAGGTCATTTAGATAGCATGTCAAAACAGATTAGCTGCCTGATGCAACCAAGAAATTAGGAAAAGAACTTTCTGTAACTCTGTCCACTGGGGCACAAGAGTTTATAGGCAGAGTGGACACAGAGAGGCTCAGACTGTCTAAGAGGGGCCATGCCAGTGGGACTCCAAAAGAAGGCAAGGACACCTTGTGAGAGCATCCCAGACATGATGGGGCTGGGGACAGGATGAAGTTGCAGCAACAGACGTCTTACACGTTGGGGTGGGCTTCAGCTGCATCAGCCTGCAGCGCTAGAACCTTCGTGGAATCAGCACACAGAGCTATGCCGTGCGGTAGGAGACGGCTGCACACTCTTCTGGCCTGCTTGCCACCCCCCCCCCAGTTGCTGGAAAAAAAGCAGCATGTATGAGGTGATTATTCTAGGCTGCATTTCGTCTGTGTGGTCCCAAGAGTCCTAAGGTGCCAAGTTTTACTCCTCCTACCAAACCCATTCCCCAGATGCAGAAACTAAGAAACGGTCACATAGTGATGGATCCAAAATTATAGCGAACAAGTTGGGCAGCAGAACTCAGAGCCCAGTGACGCTCTTCTGCTTTGCTTTCCGTTTTATGCTCAGCTCACAATGTGTGTGTGTGTGTGTGTGTATGTGGTTTACATGTGTGTATGTATATGCATGCATGTACACGTATGCATCCATGTGTGTGTATTTGTGTGTGCATGTGTGTACATGTGTGTGCATTTGCATGTGTGCATGTCTGTGTGTGTACATTTGCATGTGTACATGTGTGCAAGCCTATGCTCATGAACGCATGTATGTATGTATATGTGTGTGTGTATACATGCACACACTGATCACATGAATGTACAGACAGATGAAAGCTCTTGGACACCAATGTTCCCATAGAGATCAGCCTACCCTGTTGGTCACATCCACATGCCTAGGTCATGGTAATTGTCGTTTCTTCCTCTGCCACACCTGTGTCTCCCTTCTATACCTCAGGGCCCTTCTACTATCTGAGAGAACCCTGTACTGGTTTACACCTTCATTCTGACCTCAGAGTTCACTTCATCTGCTCCTGCCCACAAGCCTCCCTCTGTTCATGTGTCAGGGAAGCCATTGCTTCATCAGTGACACCTTAGACAGCTGACTCCTCCTGAAACCTTCTGTTCACCCTTCGTCATCTTCTGACACAGAAGGAAAATGTGTTGGAGAAGTGATCGCCTGTGCCCTGGGTACCTGAGGAAAGCAGCCGGATGTTCGAGGACAGCCTCTTGCTGCCTGTGAGATTTAGGTCTGAAGCATAAAACCTACTATTGATTTGAGGCAATGTGACCAGTTTTGAATGTCCGTTAAAGCCCAAGGCCCAGCATCACATAATCAATGTCTCTTCCCTCTCTCTCCCTCCCCTCCCCCTTCTCTCTCACTCTGTAGCAAATGCATGTGTCGTTACCTCTCCTGCATCTATCCAGCCTAGCCTTTCATTGTACCTTAAGTGGAAAGAAGCACCTGCTGGGGCTTTGGTGCTTTAAGAAGGCAGTCCCATGGAGAAGGAATAATCAAAACACAGTGCCCATTCCTTACAGTCCAGAGAACTTTTGAGAGAACCAGAAGTGACTGTGTGACAATAAAAGGAGCTGGGAAGTGAGGAGAGAGTGATATGGGCTTATTCAGACAGGCATTTTTCGAACAGTAACAACCACCGAGGTTCATGTGCCGCAGGGTGGTCCAAGCAGAGCATCATCACTATAAAGAAACATTAGCAAGGAATCCCAGCCTTTCGTCTAAGGAGGCTGAGGAGGGTGCAGAGGCTCAATCTCAGGAGGCTGGGTAGATCTGGGTGATCATAAAACAGTCTCTGCTGACTTGAGGGTAGAAGAAGATATGTGGGTGAAGGCCAGGCAAGCACAGAACAGGCCATCTCAGCAGACCAGGTAGGCCAGGATAATGGCTGAATCAAGAAGTGGCAAGGATGCAACTTAATGACAGACATTCACAAGGAAAACAGCAAGATTTGCTAAGGAACACAGTTGGTGATGGAATGGGAGGGACATGATGATTGACAGTGTCCTCCCAGCCCCTGGCAACCCTAGCACTGGGTGTGGCTTACTGTGTGGGGTATTTAAGTTGATTAACTTCTCTGAGCTCCTGTTTCATCACTTATAATATGAAAGTAATGGAGAGTTTGCTGTTGCTTTTCTTGTTTTATCTTATAGGATGTTGGGGCCCAATATTGAAAGAGTGTCCCGGCGCTCCTCTGATAAGTGTGATGAACTTTGGTAGTATTGACTGATGTGTTTTCAGTAGCTGCTTCATCATGCTTTCTTAAGAGACATTGCTTGCAGTACAAGCTGTTTCCAAGAGTCAGCAGGGTTACTATTCCCATACAGCAAGACTCAGGCTTGGAAAAGTGTGCACCTCTCAGATCCCCAAGGAAGGGTCAACTCTAATGGAAAAGTGTCCACGCTGGGACTTAGACAAGGGTGATATTTAGACACTAAGAGCTGAAGGACCCCGTGAGATGCACAGAGAACACAGATGGGAGAGGCCCATCTGGATGTGACTTACAGAATATGAGGGAGAGAGAGACTTGATTGATAAACCTTTCCAGTGGTTCTTTGCTGACCTCAGCAGCCATCTTCCTGAGGTGAGGACCAGGGAGGTGAGAAGTGGACCATCCAGCGCCAGTCAGGGCTGAGGCTATGATAGTGGATTCCTGTGCAGCTGTACCTTGAGACTTAATCCCAAAGCAGACCACCACAGCAGCTCCTGGCTGCAGAGCCTCCATAGCTGTTAACTCCCATCTTCCTGTCCCCAGCCCCTCCCTTCTTATACTCTGTTTACCAATCTCCCCCTTCTTTCTGAGATCACCTGTTGCTGGGCAGATCTCTGGGATGGTCCTCATCATCCAGATCTGGGACACCATGTTTGGTTCAGGGACAGCCATACTGCCTACAGTGACCCAATCAGAAAACCTCTCAAAATTTAACAGGTATCCAAGCTAAGACCCTGCTCCACACCACTATCCTGGCTAGAAATAAAGGGACAGATGGTAACCATGTCAGTAAGGATATGGAGAAGCCAGGACGTTTGTGCACCGTAGATAGGAAAATGGAATGGCCACTATGGAAAACAGGCAAGCAGTACCTTAAAAGGAATGCTGTAGGGTTACTATATATGTATACAGAAGATATGTATATCAGTGTCCTCAGCACATTTCACAGAAGCATTGTTAACAAAATCCAAGTGTGTCCATCACACTGGCCTGTAGGCAAGTCTGCATGGCATTTTCTAGATTAATTACTGATCTAGAGGTATGCAGCCCACTGTATACCTCTATACAGTGCGATGCCATTCTCAAACAGGTAGTCCTGGGCTGTATAATAAAGGCTGAGCAAAGTATGGAGAGCATGCCTGTAAGCGGTGCCCATCCATGGCTTCCGCACGGCTTCCACCTCAGTTCCTGTGTCCAGCTTCCTGCCTTGAGTGTCTGCTCTGACTTCCTTCAGTGGTCAATTGTGATCTGGATATGTAAGCCAAACATCCCCTCCCCGGCAAGTCAGTGCTAGCCGTGGTGTTTATCATGACCTGCATTGGGACATCTTAGGAGTGGAGGGTTTTGCTTCTTTCATAGACATGCTTACGTTGTTTCCCAGCGAGCTCCCAGACAAGCTCCTGGAGCAGAAAGCAAGGCTTATGATGGACTTAGAATGATCTCAGGACTGCTAGGTGTGAATGAGAAGACAAGAGATGGCAGTAATGATAAGAGAGAAAGGAATGGGAGGGAGAGAAAGAGGGAGGGAGGATGCTAAGGTCCAAATACCTGTTTAGAAATGTTAAATGGTGATAGCAGAGGAAGTGAGATTATCATCATCACCATAGTTATCAGCAGCAGCATCACCACCTCCACCATCATCATCATTGCCATCCAAGGTGGGATGAGAAAGTCTCCTGAGTGGGAGAAAGAATCTATAAGCTACATCCTGGGAGCTGTTCACTTGCTTTTGTAAATGAAGTATTGTAGCTGTCTGGGGTGGGGGATGAGCTGACTCTGGTGATGGTTCTCTGAGACAAAAACAGAAACATGACTGAGTTTCAGGGATATCGTGTATTTATTGGTTGATTTTTAATATGTGTCTGTGGGAGTTTGACCTGAACATGTGTCCATGTGCCACATGCTTGCAGTACCCGTCGCGGCCAGGAGGGGGCACTTGATATCCCTGGAACTGAAATTAGAGATGGTTGTGAGCTACCACATAGGTGTTAGGAATGGAACTCAGGTCCTGTAGAAAAGCAGCCAATGTTCTTAACACCTGCTCCGTCTCTCCAGCCCCATGGTGATACAGTTTCTAGATTCCATAAATGTTTCATTCCTTGAAGGTGGGAGGTAGGGGGTTGGGGGTGGAACAAACATGTATCCATTGGGCCACACATTAGGGAAAAATCTTAGGATAAGATGTTTCAAAACTAAAGCTTTCTGATGGACTGAGATCCAGGAATTAAGAGCTGAGAGGCAGCCAACTTCCAGTCAGGTCCTGGGCAACCTGTGGGGAAGGCCTCAGATATCTCCCCTTGCTTTCTAGGAAAAAATAAAATAAGACATCCTCCAGGTGGCTGATAAATGCCACAAAAGAAAGGATTCAAACACCAGGAGAGGGAGTGTGAGGGAGACATTGCCGAGCCGAAAACCGAAAACCTTAAAGCTAATTTCTCATAATTGCAGTTAGTGTGATTATAATATAATACAACTGTCAAAAAATAATTCTGGAAAGAGATTAGACACAATGTAAAAATATATTAATTATAATATTCTGATTTTAAAAACCAGATGGGGCTGGAAAAGGAATTGATGTAATACTGGTAATTACAGCTTCCATTTTTAGAAGTTACTGTGTATTATGCACAAAAATAATGCTACATAAATATTGTTTTTCATATGCCTCTGTGTATATCTCTGACACTAATTCCTTAAAGTAAGTTCTTAGACAGCGAAGCTAGCTGTGAGCACCCCCAACTGTGGACACAGGAGACTTTGAACTGTCACCGTAAGTGTAAGTGTGTGTGTCACCACAGTCACCCCAAGTGTGAGTGTGCAAACTGCCACACTCTTGCCAGTTCTGCTTGTTACCATTTTGCTAGTATTAATTTAAACAGTGCATTAGAAATACAGAAGCTCGGCCATTTTATTTTTTTTTATAACAAACTAGAGCAATCTGGAAATGGTTTGTTGTAGCATAGCCACCTTTACAGATTGAAGCCTTCTTCTGCTTCTTCTGGTACACACACACACACACACACACACACACACACACGAGGGGAGTCTTTTCCTGAACAGGCCTCCACCAGAGTTGCAGGGAGCCAGATTTCATAGCATATAAATAACAATGGCCACTATGAAATGCTTTCTTAATGAATTAAGAATTAATTAATTAATTAATTAATGCTTTCTTAATGAATTAAGGTCCATTAAATCACCCAATGCATGTCCCCATGCTGGATGTCCTGAGTTCTTAAAAATCATATTCACAAAGGGTGTTAGAGGCTCCAGAAGTTTCTCACAGTCCAGAACCCAGTGAAAGTGCACACCATCATCAGCTGCTCAGAGATTATTTGTGCCCGGAAGACAAGGATGCAGCAAAAAGAAGGGGAGTATGTGGGTGCCTTGCTCAGCCATGCCCAAAGAAGCTTCCTCCTGCAGGAGACAGGAACAACACAGAGACCCACAGCTGGACAATTCGCAGGGAATGGAAGGTTCTGGAGCACTCGGCCCTAATTGAGATGCCTTCATCAACCCCCACCCCCCATGGAGGAGGAGGGAAAAAGAGGAAGAGGAGAAAGAGGAGGAGGAAGAGAAGGAGGCAGAAAGATTGTAGGAGTCAGAGCAGAGGTGACATCACTGAAACAGTGTTTTCTAGGGCTAATATACAGAGGAACTTGCAGAGGCTGACAGCGTTCACAAAACCTACCTAGGTTCAAGCCAGACAAATTCCTGCATGAAGGAGGGGACTGAAAGAGGCATAAAGTCTCACCCCTGGCTAAGAAGGTTTTTTAAACTGATAGCTGGTGGGAGGAAGAAAATGAGTTGCCTTCAATGGAGTGGCACTGGGCATACCAACCACACTCCTGGGCAGGCCACATCTGGCCAATACAACTGGACTCAATTTTTTCTTAAGAGAGAGAAAGAAAAACATAAAATTGGAAGGTGGGAGGGTCTGGGAAGAGTTAGGGGAGAGGAACGAATATGATTAAAATATATTTTGTTGGGACTGGAGAGATGGCTTGGCAGTTAAGAGCACTGACTGATCTTCTAGAGGTCCTGAGTTCAATTCCCAACAACCACATGGTGGCTCATAGCCATCTGTAATGTGATCCGATGCACTCTTCTGGTGTGTCTGGAGAGAGCGACAGAGTGCTCATATACATAAAATAAATAAATAATTTCATATATATTCATATAAATTCTCAAGGAACAAATAAAAATATTTTGAAAGGGAGAGGGATCCAGAAGACAATGCTTCCAGAGGAAGGAGGTGACCGACACTCCTACCTAGCTATGGTGCCTATGAACCATATCAAGGACAAGCATGGAACAGTCACCTACAGGTACAGTAGTGGCACACATACCTTGGTGGAAACCAATGGCTCTCTAATTGGACTTAAGACATAATCAAAAAGAGGAATACCGTGCCTGGGACTGGAAACCTAGCTAACTATTCAGTGCTGGTGAAGTCATGGTTCTTGGAAAAAAAAGCTACAACCACTAATTTACTAAACTGGCATCATCCCTAACAGCAATGTGTAAACATCTGTCCTTATATCAACAGATAAATATGGTCTTAGACCCTAATCAAGGAAACTTCTCTGGGCAGTAGATGGGGAGCGCTCCAGAAAATCACAGCCACTAGATATGCAGAGCTGGGAGGCCAATCCCAATGGACACACCTACTAAGCACTCCTTCACTTTCCATGTCCTGTGGAAAATGGAGCAGAAAGGTTGTGAGCCACAGGATCAGGAAGTTAGCCGTGAGTCTCTGTCTCCTACTAACACCAAAAGCTATGCATCCTAAGTCTCGCCAACATAAGCCCAAACATGAGCTGAACAAGGAGGATACCAATGAACATGCCCAAGTGCACAGGGAAGAAGCCCACAGGGCCTCAACCCCGCATAAAAGGCCTATAGGTAACTAATTAAACCTGAGACAGACAGATGGCTCTTCCCAGGAAAGAGCACACCCGTTGGTTGTCCAGCACCAAAGATCCCTGAGAACATTACATATACAGTAACACTGTATTATCTCAACAGGCTACATTTAGGAGCGGATAGGTATATACAAAGTCATATATGCATACAGGGACAATTGATTTACAAAATGAGGCTATGAATCTGAAGGAGAGTGGGAAGGTGGGATGTATGGGAAGGTTTGGAGGAAGGAAGGAACGTTATCATTAAAACACAATCTCAAAAATTAATAACAAGCAAGGGGAAGGGAGGATCTGGGGGAGATGGTTCAGTTGGTAGGATACTTAGTGTATAAACTTGAGGACATGAATTTAATCCCCAGAAGCCACGTAAAAAAGCAAGGCATGTAAAAAAGCAAGGCACGGTGACTCAGCACTTAAATCCCAGCAATGGGCGGTAACTCACACAGATCCCTAAGGCTACACAGCCAGCCTGCTTAGTGCACATGGTGAGCCAGGCCAGCGAGCTGCTCTGCCTCAAAAACAAAGCAGACATCTTATTTTTTATAAAGAATGATACTTCAGGCTGGCCTTTGGGCTCTACACATGTTCACACACACACACACACACACACACACACACACACACACACACACCAAAAATGAAAAAGAAAAGCTACAGTCCCTATTCTGTGTTTAAAATATATACAGTTAATAAGGACAGTACCGTGAGTTAATAAGGCATGCTGTCCAGATTGACTTCTCTTTTCTTCTTCCCGCGTGCCCTTAGGGTCTCTTCTTCAACGTCGTTTGCATGTAATAAAGAAAGGCAACAGATGTGTTTGGATAAAGGAAAGAGGTAGAGACACAAACAGACCTGTGACTCCAGTCCACAGGCCACCACAGTCCTGCCACCATCTGCCCTATGCTTCTGCATGGAGAAGTTGATCTTTTGAGCTGTTTCCTTGTGTGAATCTGGCAGTCTTGTGGCTTTCCCACCATTGGTGGTAATGCTTCTCACAGTGGCATGGTCACTTGATGTCCCCAGTGAGCCCAGCCTTGTGAGGAGTCTGAGGGCCCTGGACTTACCTTCCACATTTACTCGGCATACCACCACAGTTCTGGTAATGAGCTTCAGCTGCTTTGGCAGGCTCTGTACTTATGTCTCTGTTCTGCAGGAACGGGGCCCTCAGGACTCTTAATGCATGGGGAGGCAGGAGTTACCTTGTCAGCAAACTAGAAGTTCTGAAGTCTCCCCAGTAACCAGACAGTAGATATACTCTGAAGACTTGTTGAGTGACAGAATAAGTGACTGAATGACTGAATAAAGCATGTTGCTTTCCCTGGGTGACTCGCTTTTCTGAGGTTCCTTTTTATCCCAGTTCCTCCCGGCCTGGGCCCTGCTGAAGCCTGGATCGTGCCTTTCTCCTGCAACCAAATGCTCTGTGACCTAGAGCAGAGTTCCAAGCTCAAGAAAGCTTCTGATCTTCTGATCTGTCACAGTGCGGGCCACCAGGCCCCTGCTCCACCCAGGTCCTGGCTCAGCTCTGTCTCACCTGGGCGACCTTGACATTGCCCAGTCTCCTTCCTCTGGAGTCAAAAATCCCACGGAAGGCCTTCCTGGCCAGAGCTGCAGCTCGTGGGAGCGCATTCCCCATCCTGCTGATCCCCACACTTTGTTGGCCCCTCATCCCAGGAGATCTGGTGCCTCAAAGGGAATTATAAACTGATCAAAAATTATAAACAGATTGAATTGGCCCCAGGGAGCAGAGCTAGTGTCTTCTCCATAGATACCCCGATGTTAGGATGACTGCTGACTGATCGGCAACCAGGAATTCCCAGAACTGTTTTCAGGGCACTGGAGGGAGGCATGGCTGCCCTCCACTCAGCGTCAACGAGACTTAGCACATCTTGCTCTATCAAAAATAACAGACCACGGAAGCGTAACCTCTCCCCAGAGCAGATACGCATTTGCGAGGCAGCGAAACTACATAATTACAGACATAACACGCTAAAAATAGGCCCTGTGCCCGCACAGGCAGCCAGAGTGTGGCACCCCAGCACAGTACTGCCACGTGTGGCAGTATTAATAGGGGCTGTGGCACCGTCCCAGGTGACAGATGAGGTGACTCGTGGGACTACAGCCAGCAACCACAGGGATCACTAAAGTGTTGTGCTACTTGGTGTCTGTCCAAGGACTGTGGACCTTGTCTTGAGGACAAGACAGGGCAGGGGAGGCTGGTACTCCACAGTTCAGAGGCAACTGGGGCTCATTGTGATTGTGGGTCTCCAGACAGCTAGGAGGAAGGCTAGGCGAGATTTGAGGTTCTCCATACAATCACTGCAAGCTGTGTTGAAGGGTTTTACCCTGCCCCAAGAATATGCAAACTAACTGTGTGTCAATTAGAGATATTTTTTTTTTCACAGAAGTCATTGCACAGCTACGATTGTCAGATTTCCGCCTTGCTGTATTCTTGCAACTACCCTGTTTGGATAATAGGAACGTTGTGCTTAAAGCATGTGGCCTTCCTCACACACCCAGCGACTGTGTGGGACTCTGGCTATCCTCCTGACACGACCTCTTATCTTCTCGGCTAGCCAGCTTTATGCCTGGTTGGTTCTGGGCAGTGTTCAGAGGGACCAAGTGGACAGTGGGTCTCCTACGTTCTCACCTCCAGAGTGGCATGATATCAAGTCTTCTGCACGCCAAAGTCTGGTCAGGCTCTAGGTGTCTATGAAGGAACCGATTACATTATCTTGGTAGGAGAAGCAATGAAATTCCAAGGCTGCATTTATTCTAAGACATCTCATTTAATTTTCAAAAGGGCTCCAGAAGAAAGGGATCATTATTTATACTTTCTAACAAGAAGCTGAGGCTCAGAGAGGTTAAACAACTCTCCCGAAGCCACACAGCTAAGAGGGTCAGTCTACGTGTCAATGGCCTCTGCTCCACGTCCCTTACCTTTGTAGAGTATAATTATAAAAATCAATCTACACTACGGCCAGCCGGCACCGGCAACGGCGGGCTCCTCACCCCCATGGAGAGCCCCAAGCGGAGTTCTGCCCAGGTTCCTGTGGTTAGCTGCTGCTCCCAAGCCAAAACGGGGATAGCCATGGCGGCAGAAAGACCGACCGCCTTTGCCTCTGCCTAGCCGGCCATAGCGTAGACTGACCTCAAAGTAAATTTTCTTCTCCTCTGCGTCAGCATCTCCAGTTGATTTACTAGGTCCGCCATTTCCTCCTGACTTCCCATCATGGCTAACCAGGGAAGGAATGAGAGAGCCTTCTAGAACACCTTCAGGGTACAGTACAGCTGCCTTGATGATTCTTTCATAATCTCGTTCCCAGCTGGTCCAAGCCAGGCCCTCAGCCCTGTGTCTACTAGGCCAGAGGCTCACATCCGAGGGGCAGAGGGCTGCCCAGGATTGTAGGCCTTGGGTCAATGCTGCAGTAATGAGGAGCCTGGGCTCCGCCAGCTGCCTCAGCTGCGCCCGGCACTGCCGACGGGCTGACCAGAGCAAAGCTCACAGCTCCTCCCTGGCGCCTTCTGAAGCAGCTGGTTTTTGTTTTTCGTAATGGTTGGAGCGGATGGAGGCGGGGATTGACTAGATCAGTAAACGGCAGGACAGGTTCTCAGGCTCCAGCTGTTGGGCTCCAGGGTCCGATGCTCCTTTTGCCTGACTCACTGGTCACCTCCCCAGCCAATGAGGAGTCTCCAGTAGAGACAAGGGAAGCTTTCGGCAACGGACTTTGCGCCACAGGCCCTCTTCCTCCTGAGTAAGCTCCCACACCCTGTCACCTGACACTTGCCCTATACCCCCACCCCCAGCCTCACAGATGCAGAGGCCTGAGAACAGGCCCAGGCACGTCTCGGTTTCTTCCTGGAAGCTCCACAGAGATAAGGAGCAGACCACCTTTCTTCCCGCCCTGGGCTGTCCTCCAGAACGTTCTCTAAGCCTGGTTGCTTGGGGCATGCGGCATCATCCTCCCAAGTAGAAATGGAGGAGTCGCAAGCTCCCAGATTTTCTTATCCCCCCACCCCCAGGCTTACTGTCCTCTCGACACATCTAGGGTCATTCGGGAAGAAGGATTCTCAACTCTACGGCATTTTCTTAACTTGCGGTTGATGCGGAAGGCTCGTTTCGGACCATGCCGTCTCTGGTCCGGTGGTCCTAAGTCATATAAGAAAGCAAGCCGAGCCGCCATGAAGAGCGAGTCGGTAAGCAGTGCTCCTCCGTGGCCTCTGCCTCACGTCTCTTACCTTTGTGGCGTGTAATTATAAAAATCAATTCCCTATATTACGGCCAGCCGGCTAGGCAAGGCACCGGCAACCACGGTCTTCCCGCCCCCGTGGGAAACCCCAAGCGGAGGTCTGCCCAGGTTCTCACGGTTAGCTACAGTTCCCAAGCCAAAATGGGGATAGCCATGGGGGCAGAAAGACTGCTGCCTAGCCGGCCGTAGTATAGGTTGATTTTTATAATTACTCATTACGACCTTGAGTTCCTGCCTTGATTTCCTTAAATGATGTACCGTGATACGGAAATGTCTGAGAAATAAATCCCTTCCTTCCCAAGTTGTGTTCTGGTTACCATGGTGTTTTCATAGAGCAATAGAAAGCTCAACTAAGATACTGATCAAAGCTGGGAGTGCTTTCTTTCCCGGACACACAGAAGACCATAGGCGATGGTGGATGAAGGGTGAGACCACAGCGGCTGACCAGGCCTGGGTCGCAAAGCTCTGACGTCATAGCCAGACAAATACTTTCTTCCACACTGCACAGGTCACACACTTGCCTAGCCTTGTTTCAAAACACATGCAAGGCAGGGTATGGCGGCACACGCTTGTGATTCCAGTGAGGCCAGCGGGGACAAAATAACAAGACAAAACCTTATTGTCTTTCTTAAAAAAGAAAGCCAACGTCTAGCAAGCACAAATCAGAAAGCTTTCTAGTCCCACACCAGCAAATGAAGGGAAGGTGGATTGCTAGATTCCTTGAGTGGATACAGGGGGCAAAGATGGAGGAGCTAATACTCAGAGGGTAATGGTAAAGGAAGTCAGCCAGAAGCCTGGTCATCCGTCCCAGCATGCCTTCTTGTTCCAGAGCAGGGAGAACATGGTGGGAGCCTGATACTCACAGACTCCAGTACACCTTGACTCAAGCCACCTGGTCCCACAGTGTGTCCTCTTTATTCACTTGTTTATTTTTAATCTGACATTCCCATGGTAATTTGTGTTTTTAAAATTTATTCTCATATTGGTTGTGGTAAAATACGCATGTAGCCACAGTCACCATTTTTAAGTATACTGTTCTTGTCTCATTGCTAGGCAACTATCACCACTGGCCACACAGTTCTGTGTGTGTGTTTGCCTGTGTGCACGTGTTCATGGGTCTGCACCTAGGTCTGAGTGTCTGGTGGTCAGAGGACAACCTCATGTGTTGCTCCCTGGGGAGCACTCACCTTTTTATTGAGGCAGGTATCTCATTAGCCTGAAACTTGCTAAGTAGGCTAGGTTACCTGTTCGGGAAGCCCAAAGGATATTCCTGTCTCTGTCTCCCTAGTGACTTTCACGTGTGAGCCTCCTTGACTCTCTTTACCCAGGTTCTGGGGACCAAACTCAGTTCCCCACACTCACAAGGAAAGTGCTTTACTAATAGAGACAGCTTCCTAAACAACCCCACCCCCTACCTTCCACCCCCTTCAGAATCTTGGAAAACTCAAACTCTGACCCCATAAGAGAACAGCCCATCCTCTCTCTTCTGACCTCAGGCAACCAGCATTCTGCCTCCCATCTGTAGGTTTCAGACCATTCTAGGTATCTCAGGTAAGTGGGCCCCCGAAAGATTTGTCTTTTTGTGATTGGTTTGTTTAATTTAGCATGCTGTCTTTAAAGTTGAGTTACCTCACATGGCAACACTGCCCTCTTTAAAAGGCTGAAGGATACTCCGTCATGTGACCACTCCCTGGGGCAGAGACCCTGCTTCACTTTTGTGAGTGGTGCTCACAATTAGTTAGATTCTGGTTATCAAGTTGTAGTGTTGGGAGGCAGGGGCTATAAAATCGATCCGTGTTTTCCTCAGAGACTGGAGTAACTTGTGGGGTAGTTTGCTCTTGAGTGAGCAGGTAATTCTGAAGCAAAGTGACCCCTCCTTTGTTCCTCTCTACCCTTTTGAATAAATATAAAGTTATGATCCAGTGAACATATAAATCAATTGTTTTGGCTGCATAGTTCTGAAGGTTGAAGAGTCTGTAAGTATGGTGCGGGCATCTGGTGTGGGTCTTATTGCATCCTAATGTGGTGGTGGCAGAGACCATTTCATGGGAGAGGAAGCAAACGTGCTCACCAAGTCTCTCTTAGTCTTCTCGTAAGGCCACCAATGCCTACAGGGCTCCCACCTCTACAGTTGGTCTCATCGAAGCCCAGCTACCTCCCACCAAGGGCCCCTCTCCAAATTCCATCCAT